GGGTGACACGTCATAAAATATACTCCTCTCCTTCTCTTCATAAAATTCGCCCATCTTTTATAAACGTCTAGCCTTACATATATTCAGAGGCCGCATGTTAATACATTGTCTCTTGTTAAGTCTGCACCAAAAGGTTATTTGTACATGGCAACCAACATTATCACCAAACTTGGTCTAAATCTACACTTGCATAAGGGAAATAGACATCAAAGCGCCGCGGTACGTATCACTTTGTAAAGTATGCCATGCAAACACCACCTAAAACGACTTACATTTATCCTATAGATAATTACACACCCAGAATGATAATTACATGTGTAATAAGATTGAAGAAGAAGAATAAACGTGCTACGTTTGCAAAAGTGTTTTGTTACCAAGGTGACAAACGGCAGGTAAGTCCTTTGAAGGAATTGTAAAAGTGGTACAAAATCGTTAACCACACAGACACTATACTAAGACAATGAAGGTGTGGGAGACGTTCAGGTTGCCGGCCCGAGGGAAGCCTGTTGTTTTAACACTAAAACTACCTTTCTGGAAACAAAAGAGGGGAGACACGCATGGCTATTTATCAAAAGTCTTGTACAAACTTCCTAAAAAGACAAAAGGCGACGGATTGTCCCTATCAGGTTCGGACAAAAGCGTACACGAAATACTAAAACGCATATAGAATGAATGAAATAGCCATTATTGACAATTAAAAATACAAGAATCTATGTAAATAAGCTCAAAGGTGTTTGTACAAGCTAAACAGCGTTTTCAACCGGGTTTCAGTTTGAGAGATTACTCGCGTATTTGAACTTAAATTGCGTCGTTGCACTTTGCACGTGCTGAAATAGACACGGGCGCGGAAAGGACCGACAGTGTCTACACGAACACTGCTATATAAGTACATGATGTAATTACGCATTGACCCAACGCTGGCCTTTTGAATGACCGGTCCAGAAGTCACTGTTCGGAGCATCTGATTGACAAAAAACAATGACCAAATTATTTCCCAACAAGGGAAGATAGACTTGTTGGGTGTCACAATTTTTTTTTAATTTTGATGTAATTCGTCATAACTCCAGACAAGGTTGGCCATCGGTTCACCTCGTGTGTAATATAATACACTCTTCACAATCAATAGATCATAATGATGATCACATGCTCAATAAATCAGGCAACTGATATTACCATGGAGTCATGTCCTCACCTTTTCAACTCGCACGTAATTTGACGATTGAACTTGATTGACACACTCACCATTGACTGAACTAGCTGACCCCTACACACGTTCCCGTGATGTGATATTTTAATACGATAGTCAGGTAATTGACACAAGTAACGAGTGTCTTGGACACTTATCAACCACCAATCTCAAAGTATAATGTTAACAGCACAGGCATTGAACAGCGACATATATGTTATGTAATACGAACGATTTTACTATCACAGTCAGTAGTAACATGGTTTTTTTTCTGAAGCCAAAATCTGCCGCAACATCTTGGAGCATAGGTGCCTTTTAATTACACATAAATTGTCTTTTTGGATACATATGTTAACACTCTGATTGTGTTTATCAATTGTGTATTATTTTTTTACCAAATGTTTTCATCATCTCTTTCATACATTGCGCATGGCGAACGTTCGCAATTTAGTTTTTACTGGCGAGTGAGACGTAAATCAAATATTATGTATGTCCGACTGTCACAGTCGTGAAATTGGCATGTTTCCATTTAAGCTCTTTTTAAAACTTAAAATCTATTTGTGTTTCTATAACACTTGTGGATGCATACTGTAGATCTATGTATATATATCACGTACACACTGTTTAAACCGAACATCTTACAAGATTGTATTGTCACAAGTAATATTGTGATTTTATACTTTAAAAAAAATAAACGTATGACGCGCTAATACCAAAACTCGCCCCCTGAATAACCCCTCAGACTGGATTCGGCAATCAGGAAGCGAAGCCAGTTGTGTTGCGACACGGACGAGAATCTACACAGAGTTGCTTCCCTTTGTCCACTAATTCTCCGCTCTTGATAGAAGCCATATGAGCCGGTAATCACTTATTGTCGGAGGCTTAAACTTGTTTCTTTGATGAAGAACTGACATTTGAAAGAAAGAACAAGCTTTTACTACACAACAATTCGTACATTCGTTAGACTATGACGTCACTACGTAGATTTGTTTCATCAACAATACACGATGCGTAATCGTCAACCTAAGTGTGATGTCTTACGCTAAATATTCAGTTTCTTGATACAAACATATTTTCCATAAGAGAATAATACAATGCCCAAGCCGTGATACACATGTACATTTCAGGGGTAGTAGATTTCAATCAGTAGGAAATGTACATCTGATTCGACAAATTAATGTCACTTGTTGCAGCCCCGTCGAGACTAGAAGCACACTACATATGGTTTTCATACGCCTATCTTGCCGCGCTCGCTTGAGAAAAAACTTGCTACGATATCGCTAAGCCTGCGACATGGAGCATTTGTGTTGTCTTAGGTTCCTAAAGGCGACCTTTTCTCAGGAACTTTGTAATGGCGAACTGTGTCGCAGTGGGAAAACAGAGGACACGGTGACATTTTCACTTTTTCTAATTGAGTAAGCTGCACGAACGGAAAAGATTTTTGTTACACAGTTTTTAATTACTCGATCGCGTACTTTATCCAACTTCATAAACAAGGTATATATGGAACCGCATTTTCTCACAGAATCATATTTAACGTTTATTAGGAATTCAGTTCATTGCAGATATTATATATCTGTATGGTACGCGTTTATGTTTCGTTATTACTGTAAAACAGTAAAATCTGCAAGCGTTAAGTTGAAACACTTGGTGACTCTCATTACGTCATTTACAAAAAAATGTTTCCGTTTCAAAGGGAAATAAAACAGTGCGTCATAGTAATGTGGGTCAAGCATGAGTGGCAAATGTAATGTTTTATAAATCAGCGTTTGCACATGAAATGTGTCATGTCTAAATATAAACACCCCTTTATACAGCGCTGTATAAGTGTTATCAAACTGGTTTTCAAAAGGAGCGAAATTATTTCCGGCTTGAAGTCACGTGTTACGGCAGTGATATTGACAATAGGCCATCTCCAGTGGCCGAGATTAACGCGGGTAAGATTACCTTTGGCTACCGGGAGGAATACCACCCGCTCATGCAACTAGCGCCTATTATATATACCTTCATGACACGGGGATACATTTCGAAACAAGCATGTCACGGTTGGGCGAATTTCGGGGATGAAATTCATCAGTATTCATATCCCTACGGGGTCTCATTCTTACAATCTCGCTCAAGCAAAAAGCGTCTTTCTGGGGTGAATGAAACGGGCTAAATTGCGCAGTGTGAAATCTCGGCGCTGAATGCCCTCCCCCACCCCCCACGTCCTCGCCCTCACCCCCCATAGCGGGATCATTTTCTGGACAGTACTGCATCCTCAGTGTCAATCACTTGTCACCTCGACAGCTCGCATCATACATTTCAAAATAGCAAATAAACATTCTTGAGGCTCAATGTTAATTTCAGATAATTATTGCAGCCACTGTTGTTTGACACAGTGAAGAGAAACAGTAGCTCAACTAAACGTTACAATACCGCAATTACGGTGTCAAAACCCGAGATCGAAGCAGCTGACGAAGTCATCGATTACATGTCATCACTTTGGCTGATAAACCAACAGTGAATTTGTGACAAACGAACAAATACTCTCCCAAACTGACAAACCAATTATAACAGTTTATGCATATTATTACTAAAGTAGAATCATATGTGTTTTGCAGCCTTTATACATGTGCACGTCATAGCTATAACTGTCTGTATATTGCATTGCCTACACAAATTCCCACCTTAATTATGTACAAGATAAAATAATCCTGACATGTCTTTATTAAATGGCAGTCAAACATGTATTTATGCAAGGGAGTATAAATGTGCTGTAATATTCAAACCAAAACAAAACATTCTAATGGATCTAGAACATATATTTGGCAACATTTTGGCACATACCATCAGATAACATTGTAACAATATGGTTCTCGGTAAAATAGTTCACACAATGTGTATGTTGACAAATCCGGTAGCGAACATGCATCTGCCATGTTTGCAAATACTTTACTTGTCACGTGTACTTGTAAACAACAAATTTTTTAAAAGTTGATCAATCAATCAGTAAGAAATCAGAAACTTAATAATGTTCAGAAATGCAATCACATTTATCCTCTGTCAAATGTCAAAATTATTTATCACAGTATCTCAAATCAACTATTCTAAATTCAAGGGTGGATGTCATATTGGGTTGGAAGAGCACAATGTTATCGGGGCTTTCCTTCTCCAGCTCGCCGCAAGAGAAGTGATGTTTATTTGCTTTGTTACCATGTGCTGGCTTCATTTTGGCGCGAAAAGCTAGAAAACGCGGGAAACTGCTTTCCTATCATGTGGCTGCCACGCAGCGATCCCGAAAGACGTCAACAAGTATGGCGGTGTGTTGTCGAACTTTAATAGACGTGTCTTGTTAGTTTTCTCGTATATTGTATGAATATTTTATACTTTATTCAAGATCGTGGCTTCTATTGAAACCCAGAAGCTGAGATTCTAACAGTCTAAAATCTGAGTAAATTGACAAGCCGATCGCGGGAGAGGGCGAGTGATAGGCACTATTGAAATTTGTCTTACTCCCCCACGAAGCATGCGGTGTGTGACGTCACAGACCTTTAAACCTCAAAACATAATAACAACAATCGGTGAAAAAAAACAGTGAAATGGGCCACTCCTTCAAGATGCTATTTCATCTTCTACACCAATCGTACGATCCGACAGTAGAAGAACGTGTGTAGCGCTGTCGGAAAACTGCTAAGCATTCCGCCACTAGCAAGTGCTTATCGCAACAAGTGCGTCGGCATTCACCGGCGATTGTGTAACGCTAAGCCAATCAGATTCGAGGAGGCGTGTCTAGCTGAATTACGCCGGAAAGTGACAGGCAGGTGGCTCCGCCCCCTAAGAGTTTATAATGGACCACGAGGATAGCCAAGTCAGTCGTGGTTCGGATACTAGAGCAAGGTAGTCGAGCTGTGGAGGGATAAGACATATATACACACTCTCATAATGTCTACTACACTTATGTCATCGTTCTACGATGTCGGCGACTTGTTTCAGGTATGTGTGATTCCACAAAGATCTAATTCGCAGACTAAGTCGATGATTTGAACCCGTGTTTCCCTCGCTGTGAAATCGTCTTTCGTGTTACCGGTGTTGATTGTTTTTGTTGCCGTTGTGACTATTTTGACTTATGTTGTTGTTTACTTATTTCAGAATCGCCGAAACAACCAGATGAAGTCACAGGTAGCCCCAGTTACGACAGACCGCCGGATAGTTGGGTCAGCGTCACTCGTCGGCGTGAGGAACCGCAATTTCTCTACAGGATCGAGCAGTGCCTTCGTACCGGTGACAGGTCGCGGATCTTCCCAAAGCAGTTTGATACCCGGATCAAATATGCTGATTTCTCAGAATGACACTTTGGGTTGCGGGATTACCTCTATGACAACCCCACGCGAACACAAAAAGTTGGATCGCAGTCTTAGTGAGCCAGTAGGCACCAGGACCCAGGGAAGTGGCAATATCAACTCAAGCCGTTACAAGACAGAAATGTGTCGCCCGTTCGAAGAGAGTGGACATTGTAAATACGGAGACAAGTGCCAGTTCGCCCACGGCATCCACGAACTTCGCAATTTGGCAAGGCATCCTAAGTACAAAACTGAACTTTGTCGTACTTTCCACACAATCGGCTTCTGCCCCTACGGTCCAAGGTGTCATTTCATTCACAACGAGGACGAACGCAAATTGAATCAGCTTGTCAACAAAAACCAACAAGCCAACTCGGGTGTGCCACCCGGAGCACAGCAGCCTACTCCCATCGAGCGACCAAAATCCATCAAATTCACCTCTCTGGGATCATCATTCGATTCGCCACCGTCCAGTTCTACCGGTAGCCCTACCAGCCTCAGCCCAACGTTATCAGGGGACATCTTCTCGTACAGTGCCTTTCACTCCGGATCTTCATCGTCAACGAGTAGCCGTTCATCTGACAGCTGTCGTTCAAGCCCTGTGTTCAACTATTCCCCAGTGTCCGACATTGACTCGACAACCCCTCTGAACGTTCAGTCACAACTGAACATCAATGTGAACGTAAACAATTCCACTGTGGATTTTACAGCCATGCAATTTAACTCGGTGCTCAATCTGAACCAGAGGAACGATAACCAGCAGAATGTATTCGAGGACAATCTTCTTGATCTGTGCACAAGCTTATGCTCGAGGGACACCGTATGTGCCAACGACGTATTCGCAACAGCCCCACCCTCCTCCCCCGAATCCATTTCAGGGGACAGCGTTGGAAGCATTGCCTCACAGGGATCCAGTAATTACGGAACATGCGGATCTCCATTGGACGTTGGTAAATGCTTGCGTCTCCCATTCTTTAACCAGCTAAGCATAGATGGCAAGTAAATGTGTGCAAGACTGTTTCCCGAGGAGTTGTGTCACCGCTGCCTTACTCAAGGTTTGAAAAACCTTGTAAAACTTGTTGACATTTCGTTTTTTAAGAGATACATTAGTTGACTTTGAGTGTTAAGACTTGATCGGTAGGATGTACCGATACACCAGTGTCACAACGTATTTTCGTATACTATTCTATTTTATGCTACCTAACAAAAACAAAGTTTATTTATGTAAATCTGTAAAGTAAAATATTTTTCATTCCGCATATATTTATTATTTGGACACCCTTGTCGCTTTCACACTACAACGTGGCCTTGCAAGTGGACCATTTTTTCACATAATCCATCTTTATAGTATTTGTCAATCACCGTGCCTTATGTCATAAATATCAGTCTACAAGATCTTCCGATTTGCATTTAAAATATTAGGAAGATTCATTGCTCTTGTGAAATGGGATTTCATTAACTTATATATTATTTATTATTTCTTGGTCTGTTTATCTTATAGCTTCCTACTATTTCTTCAGGGGGAAAACCAACTACTTAAGTAAGATAGATTTATATTAATATTGTTTATATTATATTTGTGTTAAATTATGTGGTCACCAAAGAGACAATTCTTTTTGTCATATCTCATTTTTTATGACTAATTCATTTCTTTCATTTGTACAATTATCATTGTTTGTATTTAATACAAAACTTGAGTATGTTTCAAATTGAAAAATGAAAAAAATATTAAAATCAATCGCTTATTGCGTTTATACAAAATCCATCTTTTCTGTTTTTCTTCAATGCTACCCTCAGTGCATGCCCCATGTCAAACCACACCAAACCAAAACCGGTTAGATCATTAGTTGGACACTGCGAGTAGTCAGTCGGACCCTTTAACGAGGGACAAGCGAGCTCACATGGGTTGGCTGTCCCAAATTAGGACACGACTTTTTCAAACTTTGGAAGTCAGTTACCTTATTCTAATACATCAAAATTTCAGGTGATGTCGATACACATTAATATGATAGCATAGTCATGCATATCGACGTCACTCCCCATTATATATTTGGTTTGGTATGACTTGTGTGGGTCTTCGGCCGTTGACGATTTGAATATTGAGGTTGACCCAGTGCTGGTTGGTCGGCCGGCGCTGGGTATATCTTGGAAGAGCCCAGAAAGTGAAAACATGAATACTATCCATGTCGGTTCGCTTGTTTGTGTGAACTATCCGACCTTGACTTTGTCTTGGTCATAGTTAAAGGTGCACTACCCCTGGAATTTTAAAAGAAATCTATATTATTCCCTGTCAATCTTTGATGACGACTCGCTCGAGGTGCAGGTCGATAGTATCTCCTAGCATTCGTCTGCCACCTGTTGATTGACACAGGTGAGCGGACAGGTAAAACATACCTGTTGATGGGCCCAGGTGATCGATATTGACAACAGGTAGCTACAGGTGTATGGCGCTATCACTCATTCCCGATCCAAGAAGGAGACGTTTACGATCGTTGCTGTTTTGGCAAGGTTTTATATTGCATGTAGACTTTGCCAAATGAATATCTTGTTCATTGATTCAGTGCTATATATTTTAGTGAAAAGTTTGTTTACTAAATTAGTATAGACGTACGTCTACAACGTTATCTTGTGAATTCGAAACTGTCAAATTCAAATTTGAAAGTAGGTCATTTATCTCGCCCATTCCTATTGAGCAGTAGATCTAGCTTATCCATAATCTGTTTATTTCGTTGATAATTTTTTTAAATTGATTGACCGTGAAAGACGAAGAAGGAAAGAAACCTTTGAGAAACAGAACACGTGCCCGCGGTTCTAACGAAGGGATCAGGTGTCACGTGGTTTTTGTCAAGGTCACGCTAACCGCGGGCCAGGTAGATAAGGGTGGCTTGGATAGTTACACTGAAGATAGCTCTGTAGTGAATTGTAGAAATCAGAATTTCACTTGCCCTTTACTTTTGTGTCGAATGATGAATATAATTAAAATCATGACGGATTAAATTCGCCTGATTATTCTCCAACTTTTATCAAAGATCAACACCGCACAAAGCCATTATTGTTTTTAAGTTTTAGAAACCCGTGCATCACTCGAGCTAATGACGTCAGGCTTGTCACATTCACCTACTCAACTATTTCTGCCCCGAGGGCTAGCGTATTAATATAAATAGATTTATGGTACAATATCTGCTAGCAGCGTTCATCTTCTCAGTTTGTCAGAATGAGCAACTAGCTGGCTTAATGTGTCAGCGAGATACACGGAAACTTATGCACTGGAAAATCTCACCCTTGTAATTAACAACTATGATGCAACAGTGGAACGGACAAAGTCACGGTGAAATTGACAACCCAAATCAATTGAGACAATTTCCTTTGAGTGACTGAAATTGATCACGATGCCTTTACTGCATATTTAGTATATTTTCAAATAACGAAATCGTTTACATTTGTAAGAATCGTTATTATTTATCATTATGAAAACAAAAGTTATCTTAATGGTATTATGTACCCCAAAAGCACCTTGTCCACCTCGTATTCAGTTATTCAAACCTGACGAGGCATGCTTAAAAAATTAACTCGACACAAAAAAGCAGTTAAATGTGAGATGTGTTAGGGCATTAAACATAAAGACGAATAACCCCCACAATATGTTCAAATCGAATTGCATGTAAAGCTGAATTCAATTGCCAGCTTGTAATTGTACCTTTTAAAAATATCACCCTCTCCCAGACTTATGAATTTAACAATTGTTCTTTTAAGTGCATTGACATTTAGATATCGCCGACCCGAGGCTTTGGTCGGTCTAATTTGTCAAGCTAAAAGCTTCGAGAGACGGCCTTAGTTAGCTGGTCCTTGAAACCTGGGACCAATAAAGCCGCCCCGAACAGGAAATTTCACCAGTTCTGCATTTCTACACTTGAGGCGAATAGCCATTGTGTTTGAAAGCGACATTGGCACAACGCCAAGCAGTGTCACCATATACACCAGGGGGGGATAACTCCATCGGCCCCGAAACACAGATGGGTAAAACGTCATTTAAGAAGATGATATATAAATCAGGAAATGTATGTACGTTCCTAAAAAAAAAGTTTAAAGTATAATATTTTTTATTGTTTTTAAAATCCACAATTTTTTCCCAGGATAATATGCTACACGACATACAACAGTGTTTGATGTGACTTTATAAAGTGAACCGACTTCAATATTCATGTGCGGAGACGACAGTTTCACATTTTGAAAAGAGACCTGTTCTACTGATCTTCGGATTCAGCGTTTAAAGATTCAATTATTCACAGTAAAGACATGTATTTCCACAAAACTATTGAACAAAATACGGGAAATAATACTGAATTATTTCCTAATTAAATGTATCAGTTGAAACTAGATAGTTATGACAACACGACAGGCAGGGAAACAAACAATATGCCGCGTTTTGAAGATATTAGCAAATATTACGCCATGCCTGTTGTTATATAGGGTGTTAGCCATTAACCTATGTCTGTCTTGTCTGGTGGGCGATAACAGATTTACATAGTACTCGGGACAGAATTACCGATAAGATAAATGTCCGACGTCTCCGATGACAGATGGGACGACCTTTTTTCCGAGTACTGACTACATTATACAATGTACTCGCATATTCATCCGTGAATACTTGATTCTCTTAATAAGACAAACACGTCAGCACCATATACCGTGTTCTCGGGTTTCGGCATTTAAAATGGTTAATGTCACTTGGGGCTTTACTCATACACGTGGCCTTACTGAAATACTGCCCAAAGTGGCGTCACACCGAACTCATTCACTAAGATGAGTGGGTATTGTTTTACGTCGCTTTTAACAATATTTCAGCAATATCACGGCGGGGGACACCAGAAATTGGCTTCGCACATTGTACCCATGTGGAGGATCGAACCAGGACGAGCGAACTCTTTAACCGCTAGGCTACCCCACCGCCCCTTCACTAAGATGAACTTTACATATGAAAGTATTGTGTTATAACTTTACTTATTTGATAGGGGTGCTCCTAGACTTGCACAAGTCTCTTAGGCAATAATTATTAGTTTAAATAATAAATTTCAGATTATGTAAATAATAAACAAGTTGTTCCTATAAGAGACTGGAGTCCTTGTACTGTCCACACAGCTAGACTTGCCTATTTGGAGGATATAATTATTACACATCCATGGACATTTCTTCAAGTACAGCCTTGAGGCAAGGCTAGGCTACTCCGTGCCAGTGGGAACAACCACTATACCAAGACTAGCTCAGTTTATAGGCACCGCCCGTATGTACTGCTGTATGTTGAATTATATAGAATATAATACACGAGGCGTTTGTGTTATGTTGAGTATCGGTATACGGTCACCAGGCATATATACCGCACAGCGAGGGAATCGACGAATGAGGTGAGTTCTTATGTCGGGGTTCGAACCCGGATCTTCACTAGTTTCTGATTTGAGTAATGAGTGAATAGTGAACTAGTTTCTGATTTGAGTGAATAGTGAACTAGTTTCTGATTTGAGCGAATAGTGAACTAGTTTCTGATTTGATTAGTGAGTGAATAGTAAACTCGTCTGATTTGTGCAATGAGCGAGTAGTGAACTAGTTTCTGATTTGAGTAATGGGTGAATAGTGAACTAGTTTCTGATTTGAGGAATGAGTGAATAGTGAACTAGTTTCTGATGTGAGTTATGAGTGAATACTGAACTCGTCTGATTTGAGCAATGAGTGAATAATAAACTAGTTTCCGATTAGAGTAATGGGTGAATAGTGAACTAGTCTGATTTGAGTAGTGAGTGAGTGGTGCAAGAGTTTTGGATTTTAGTAACATCTGCTCGGATTGGCGAAGTCAAAACAAAGTAATTTGGCCAAGACTTTCAACTTAAGCTTCAGGTATATCGATGATCTGATATCGTTCAAAAACACCAAAATAGCCAATTACCTTGCACTGATTTCCCACGTGAACTAGAATAAAGGAGAACTGTGATCCCGCCTCATCTGTTTCATATTTAGATCTATGCACAAAGATTCAGAGTGACAAAACACTCTCCACAAGACTGTATGACAAGAGGGATGACTTCAACTTTCCAAGTTAACTTTCACTTTATGTCGAGCATATTCCAGCATGTACAATCGAGCATGCTCTTTCAACCAAGATTTCAAAGAGCATCATACAACTCTTTCTCAGAACTTTGATCAAGGTTACAACATTCAAGGCCTCCGTGAAGCTTTCAAAGAGTGGTAGACATGTGGAGGACATTTCCAAATTTGACGCATCAGTGACAAAAACGATGTCAGAAGTAATTCCCTATTTTGACACGCACCATGTGTTCGCGTGTTTTTTCAGGTGAACGATTGACTTGCCTTTGCATGTGTTTGTGACGGGTGCCACTTGTGGGGCAGGATACGCTCACCTTTTCGCGAACACCTGGTATCCTTGGTACTTGGTAGTGATTGATAAACACATGCTCTTGCAGTGTGTAGTCGAAATCGTACAATCACCACTGCTTGCAGCATAGATTCCTTTGAATATGCAAAGGTTTGTGTAATTTCTCAGATTTGTATTCAAAAGAACTTTGATAAGAATATTAAGAACATACTTTTAAACAACGACTCAATATAAAACTCAGGTTGTGATCGCCGGGCAATAGTAGGTATCCATACTCGGGACCATAGGGACTAACGGTGACCGTACCTCGGCTACCTGCATATAGTACCCCAGCAGGATTTTCAGTAAATTTTACACCACCCATTTAACTGATGGC